TATCACACAAAAAATGGGAATAAACTGAATGCTAATAAAAGGTATCTTCACCATGTCCTTTTCACATAATTATCCCAAACATTTCCCTATGTGATAACAATTATAAAAACATTTATTGTTAGCAACAATGGGATAATTATATTATAATCTATATTAAAATGCTTCACTGTGTTGTGAGCGAAAAACTAGTGTAATTGTCCTATAAATGCTTGAAGCAGCTATATAACCACTTGTGATCTACTTTATGTGACATACATATATGCAAATCAGTTGCACATCCATATAATTACCCTCTTGTACATCACATACAGTGGAAGACTCCTGCTGTAACTGCTACTTACTTCTTCTGGAGAAAGGAGGACAATTTCCTCTGTTTTCGTATAAAGTGGATAATTTTCCTGTGGAAATAAATGAACAGAGCACCGCCAAACCCACACACCAATCTGTAAAAGGAAAGAAAAGGTACCATCGGACAATAATTTTGACCTGATGCATCATTTACCAATAGAAAACACACTCCCTATTATATAAACTGCACTGCAAGCATAGTTCTTATTTGTTAAGAACTGCTTTGAAATTATTCAAAACTTGTGATTCCTCATATAATTCAATCACAGTGACACAGTGTTAACATATCAAGCAAATGACATGTTCTACAGCTCAGAAACTGTAGGATCGGCTAAATTGAATGTCACAATAATAAAACAGACAAATGCATGATGAAAACTAAATGTGCAATCACCTTATCCTTCCTGTGAATTGCTTTCTTAAGTGACTGACCCTTTCCCAGTGACTTGCCCTTTTTACTAAATCACCCTCCCAGTGACTAGCCTTCAAATTGGCTCCACCTTCCCCAGCCACTCACCCTATGGTGCCAAATGCCAACAGCTCCACAGCATCAAATGGAAACTCTTGTCTTAGACTAGTCTTAAACCTTATATCCCACTGGTGACTTACCCTATGGTACCAAATGCCAACAGCTCCACAGCATCAAATGGAAACTCTTGTCTTAGACTAGTCTTAAACAGGGCAGTGATGGTTTCTATGGAGGCAAAGGAAGATGGATGGTTAACATAATTCAATAAAAAGCAACAAGGTATCAGAATAATTTTATTTCCTCCAAGATCCCTATGACATGCCTGTATGACAACCAGCTGAAGTGGTCAAATGAGTGTCTCTGGTGCTCCAGGTGGTCAAAGCTGGCCCCTAGTTTTAACTTAGCTCTAAACCAGTGATTAACTCAAGCAAAATTAAGCTCTTAACCTATCATTGTAATCAGTTAAAACAAGCAAAATTAACTGAAATCTGACATTTCAATATTTAATAACACTTAACTATGATGATTGACGAAAAAAATGGGAAATTCTGTTCTTTAGTTACCTTCTTCCTGCACCCATATTGCCAGTAAGCGGAATACTGCAGCCCCACACACAGCAGAGAAGAATCCTCTCCAGTAGTTCCTGACAGCAAAATATACTGATGTGACTTCTATACTAAATAACACTCCTGAAGAGAAAAAAGACAAATTAACAATTTCATGAAGTTACTGAAGCATACAGCAACTCATTAACCAAGGTCAAAGTTGACTGAAATACTTTTTTTTTAAGAGGACATACTTCAAATTAAGATGAGTCCAGATTTCTAAATATAAGACATATTTTTTTAGTGTTACAGCCCTGCCCTATATCTATTCTAAACTTTAAGTTTTAAACAGGGATAAGACTGCCATACAGTGAAAAAGCCATAAAATATTGCGTGGGACCTAGGGGGCTGCCTAGGCCAATTATATTTTTGGCTCCCTAAAAGTTCTAAATCTGCCCATAGTCAGAAAAATCTCTTCCTTGTTCATATTTATTGTTACAGCAGCAGATAGCAGCATACCTCCAATAGGAGCAGCAAAAGTACATGCCACTCCCACAGCACAGGCAGCAGCCAGCATCTCATAGTTACGGGATTCATTCTGGAAGTACATGTCTAATGTAATAATAATATCTTTATAATATAAAATAAATTGTCATAATACTATAAAGTTGTAACAAAATCTTTCAATGTATTACTTGTGCATCTAAACAATTTCAACAAACTGACAGCACACTACAAATGCCATCCCCCTCAAAAAATAAATAAATAAATATATATATATATGACATAAATATTAATGTTAACACCGATACTTACATCATAAATCCCTCTGAAGGCCATTAACTTGGATAACAAAGTGGCCACAATACTGGCTACATGGACAAAGGGGCCCTGAAAAGGGATAATCAACCCACTTACATATCATAACAGTGACGTACAGCATTATATGGATTTTTAACCAGACATGCTGAAAACTATTCAGAATGGCAGTACATTTGGGCCGAAACTAATGAAAAATTTGCTCGACCATATGCATTTTTGCCAGTCCGAAAATTACCCTATGCATTTGAGACGGATACTATGATCAAAGGTAGCTTACTTTGTTTGTGAATGTGATCGGTTAGAAATGGAAGGGGAAAAAAGCTTTGGGTTTTATATAATTTTATTAGTGAAGTATGTCGAATGATGACTGTAAATTCAAAATTGCTGTTCTTAAAACTCTTGTCGGTCCTTTGGACTGACCATGTGCAATTTTTTTAACCAGTCCAGACAAATTTTGCCGGTCATGACCAATCGGACCATCAGTTTCAGGATGTCTGTTTAACAATAAACATGCATCATGGTATTAATTACTAAGTGTATGTAGTATAAGCAGGCTTCTACAGGATAAGCAGATCCAGAGATATTTTCTGACAGCCTTCCAAATTTTCTTTGTTGATCCATCCTCAATTTTAGACCGTCTTCCGACAGAAAAAAATTAGATACCTGTTAATGTAAATTTGAAAATCTTCCGTGAGACCCAGTAGACGCCCTAAACATGCCCCTGCAATGGCTGATTCCTAAGATTTCAGGTCAGACACATCTAACTGACTGACCGCTAAGGAATACAAACCATGGATCTTTACGGAATACAAACCTCTTTCCCTATGGGAAGTCTACTGCCCAGTGAGGAACACAAGCCAACCACTTTCGACACCAAAGTCTTCAGTGTCAAGTATTCTTTTAGCACAACCCCGCGAAGAATAGTTTTCATTTCTGGAATCCCTGAACCTTTAAATATAAAAATGTGTCATTATTAAATGGAATGCAGAGCTTAGGAAGACATGGATAATTTTCGCCAAGAAATTAAGGTTATTTCAGCATCACGGGAAGCTGAATGACTGCACTGTTCTATAAAGTTAAGAAATACTTGGATTAGTACCTGGCAATACAAAATATAGTCTACCTAATAATACTTAAACTCTCAATTCAAAGATAATGCTCTAAATTTAATTTAAAATCCAAATGGTACTGATTATTATCTCAGTAATCCACGGATAGTGCACCTACCTATTGCATTGGGAGCAACAATATGTACAAACCCTGTGGAGAAGAGGATAAACGCTATGGGGTACAGAACCCAGGCAAAGAACTGTAAGGGCGGATACTCCCCAAGTTCTTTATACAACCAGATGTGAGCTGAAATAAGAAACAGTACATGTATTTATATAATTATAATATATTTAACCCCCTCTGGAAAGGGTGTGACTGGGATAGAAATGAATACAGGAAAACTAAGTATCAAATCTAAGACCGCATTCACAACGATTTGAGCCAGGCTTTACAAATCCTGGGACTAAATATGGCGGACGTACATGAAAGGAAAACCGCCTAATCTTTTAGTAGTCTCTCCGCCTCTCACACGCCTCCCCACACGTCGTCCCTGCGGGGTACAGTAATTAAATCTCGGCTCTGTTCGCCATGCGGAAGCTACCTGAGAAATATTAAGTGCGCATGCTTATCAATTAAACTCGAGGTGAAGAAAGCATGGCGGATGGAGGCGATCGAAGGAAAAAAGCTCTTCTGTTCTATTATCTTTCAAAAAGAAGACGAAAAAGAAATGAATTGGCACGTAGAGCAGCAATGAATCGGCTACCTACAGAGATAATGTCACCAGAGATATGCACGGAGATATTCACGGAGATACCCAGGCCCAGTAGACAGAGGAGGAGGAGGGCAGAATTTTTGCGTATGCAGTCTCGTCAGAGGGCGCAGTTCATTCTGATGCTGATGTTTGCCTTGTTCCCTACGCCTGATCGAACTGTAAGGGGGGAGGGGGTGTTTTCATGATTTTGATCCCAATTCATAGCTGCTCTACGGGCCAATTCATTTCTTTTTCTCAGGTAGCTTCCGCATGGCGAACAGAGCCGTGATTTAATGACTGTACCCCGCAGGGACGACGTGTGGGGAGGCGTGTGAGAGGCGGAGAGACTATTCAAAGATTAGGTGGTTTTCCTTTCATGTATGTCCGCCATATTTAGTCTCAGGATTTGTAAAGCCTGGCTCAAATCGTTGTGAATGCGGTCTTAGAGACCACTCCCGGTGACTATCGTATTAATTTTGGATCAATCTATCTCCAAGCTGATTATCACTAAATTGCTATCAACTTAAGCTGCTTTCATGTCTGTCATGGCTATTAAAGCTGTTAGAGGATAATAAACTACAGGACACCGGGCATGCTAGAAAGTTAATTACCCCCTTCACTAGTGGGCTGGATTTGGTCTTAAAGTGCAATTTAAGTTCACAAGTGATCTTACACGATCTTAATCATTACAGCAGTAGTCTTAAAATGGACTGAATCTGCTTTTAAGATCAAAAATGATCTAACATCTACTTATGTGGTCAAGCAGTTTCCTCCCCTCACAATGGGGGATACCTCCCCTCACAATAGAGGACACCTCTACTCACAATAGGAGAATGTGTAATTAGCTGTCAGACTAGAAATGGTCTTACTCATGTTTTAAGATCATGTAAGACTATTTGTAAACTTAAATTGCACTTTAAGACCAAATCAAGCCCACTAGTGCTAGCTGATTCCGTAGGCATGACAGCTGCTTAAGTTGACAGCAATTTAGCATGAATCCCCTTGGAGATAGACCGATCCTGTTGTATCGATCTAGGCATGGGAACCCAGTCTGTGTCAATGCAAGTGAACTTACAGTATACTACTAGTGTGGAGTAGGTAACAAAGTATTTGGTTTGTAAAGTTTTGACTGGTACCCTGGGCAGCTTTATAATATTATATGGAGGCTTGCAAACAAACTGTTTTTCTCTCCTGTTGCTTTGCCCATTGTTTTCCTCCATGTGTCATTGCTAGTGAACAGACATGCTAATGCAGACCAAACCATGGATTGAGGAGGGAAATACAGAGCTGCCATGTTATCAGTGGGTTTAAATAAAACAAGTTAATGAAAAGCAACTTAAAAGTGGGCAATAAAATATAAACCCTCATTTTCCAGTCAAGATCTTGCATTATTCTAAATGTTCAAAGTCATTTTAAACCAACTCAGTTGATTCAGGAAGATGAAGAGAAATTGAAGACAAATTTGTTCCTGGGTGAATCAATAAATGTGTGTGCATTTCAAATTGAGAAAAATATCATATTACCAACAGTTTAACATAAAAGCAACTTAAAAGCGGATAAAAAATATAAACCCTCATTTTCTAGACAAGATCTCACATTATTCTACATTTTCAAAGTCATTTTAAACCAAGTTTAGAAGTGAACTAATGAAGATAAATAGAAATTGAAGAGTTTTGTTCCTTGGTGAATCAATAAATGTGTGTACATTTCAAACTGAGATCCAGGCCCCTGGTTTTACCATTAACTTACATCAACTGCTCTCCCAGACATTAACTGGCAAAGTTTAGAGAATAATTCTTACTCAATCCAGTCTAAGAAACCTCTAAAGTGTGATTAGCCTATCCCAAAGGAGCAATCAAGTCAATACATTCATCTAATATCTCATACACTTACACAACCATTCAATTTTTTCTGACAAAAAGAAAGAAAAATCCATATTCCTATTTGCATTTTTATTGTTTATGGCTGTGTTTGTTTGTTAAGACCTGCAATACTGGATAAACTATTCATATACCCATTCGCTTCAAGACAAATGCAGACAAGGATTGACATTTTTTGTTTATAGATGTATTTTTTTTACATAGCAACTTCAATTCCTTATAAACTATTCAAAACCCCACACACTTAAACATGCAAACATTTACAGCCTTTTGTAGGTGCAAGTACATGTAAATCACACACAAAAAAAAACTCATGTACAAACATAAAAAACAGTGATGTGATTTGGGGGAGTGGGGGACTGAAAATTAATGTAGTGTAATTATCCCAAAAAAAAGTTTTTTAAAAAGTTTAACCACCAGCGATGTGAAAAAAATCATATCCCTGTCAAAAGCAAGCAACTCAGTTCAACTACCATCAGTTTCTTACCATGTTGGCACCTTTCTATGACCCAGTCCATGGCAAAGCTCAGTATCGCCATGACAACCCCCAGTAATGCCAAGAAAACCCAGTCTTCTCCAAGTCTCTGGATAACAGTGCTTCGGAACCACAGACAAAAACCTGAAAGATATACAAAATGTATGTGATATATTTCTGAAACCACTGTGCTTGTGACTAGTATGTGTAAAAATGTGTGTCAGAGACAAGGCACAAAACACACAGGCAAGTAAAGAAAAGTTTTAAAGCAAAAACTGGATTTCTTTATATATCTGGTAGTGGTAGGGGCAAGGTTACTATTATAGTTCTAACCCTGAGAAATATAGACTGCAGCATTTTAAGTTCTGGTAGTGAGAGTAATGTTATTGATTTAAAACCCTGAGTTTCAGAGGCAGAGATATGCTGAAAATAAACTGACAGGTAAGTTGCCAGTAAACTCTGAACCTCAGGGGGGTTAAGAGGCCAATGGACCCTCCACCCCAGGGTGTGCGCCCCACTCTCATCATGCTTTTATTGAAATAGAAATAGACATGGCTGCTACAATTTACAAATGCCAGAGGTTGTCCAAAGCTTGAAGGGAGCACTTCTTTTACAAATTTTCAGACAAAGAAAATCAAAAACAGCTGAAAAAGTCTACAAAGTTATGGATTATGACAAGATCAATTTGTTTGCTGAGCTGTCTACTCTGGCACACCATAAATAGCAATCTTTGTGATAGTTGCTGAAGATTTCCCGCAAGCTTTGTCCTACAACATCAGGTATATCACAGCACAGAACACAAAGAACTATTGAACAATCTCACATGGGCGTTTTAATGTGGCTGAAATACAGGACTTTATTTAGAGAATATGATGTGTCTGATTGCTTATCTTTGAATGAATGTCTCTCTCTCTCTCTCTCTCTCTCTCTCTCTCTCTCATCCTCCACACATGAAAACCTAACTTTCATTAAAAAAATCATAGAAGCAAAATCAAATACAATACCTCTACATTTGTGGAAGCATATATTATCAGTATAAATATAGAAGCCTTTGGGTGCCTGTAGCCTCTCCTCTGCTTTCCGCCTGTGTTCTTGTAGCCTTTTGATCCTGACGGCCTCGTGTTTGGCGTACTCCCCCAGGTCCTGGGTGTAGCGGCCATACATCTACAAGGAACAGTTGCCATTAAAGTTTCCTTCATTTCCTTCACCGTTTTTCATAGCAGTACAGCGTGTCTCAAGGTTGAGATATGAGCTAGTTTATTCAATAAAAAGTTCCTACAGGTTACCAAGTCCAAGTGACTGGTTGCCCTTCAGGATGCCTTAAATTGTATATATATATATATAGTCACACATTTTCCTAATGGGCCAAATAAATGTCACCAACAAGAATTCCTTGCTGTGAATTATGGGAAGATATTTACAGGTGGAAATGTAGATCTTTTTTTTTCGGGAAGAACTTTTCAGCATGAGTCAAAAAGATGTTTGGCTTGTGGCATCCAGTCTCTGATTAGACATATTGTTAACTATTTCTACAGTAAATCAAGCTTAGATCATCATTTCATAATGAACAAAAATAAAAAAAAAATAATAATATTTAAAAAAGATCAACTCTGGGCTCATTCAAGCAAAAATTCTAAAACTGACAAAATAATTAATATTTCATCCAAATTATCAGATCAAATAAGTTACTATATTAGACTGGAAGAGCAGTAACTACGGAACTGTAAGAGAGCCCAGGGACTTTTTATTGCATCATACTAACATAGGTAATACTGATACTTACAGCAACAGGCTGGACCCATCAGATATGACTGAATATTGCAAACTGCACGTGACAAGTTCTGCTGATGTTACATTTCTTTCTGCCATGTCTTTCTTTGTTTTTCTTCAATAGGCCAGTTTAATATGTCCAAGCAACAGCCCAGAGACCACTGCCTTACTATTAATTTTCATTTGATATTTTTATATTTCTTTAACAAATGTTGACCCATATTTGATTATAAATATAATGAAAAACAGTCCCACTTTAATCCAACTGTTGCTCCATGACACCCAAGCCCTAATAATTTACTGACCAAGGCAGAAACCTTAGCCAGTAACAGAAAGATATTTTTACCAGGACAGTTTTAATACCATTGGTATTTAGATTGGGGTGAGTGGCTAAAGCCAAAGTCTGAAAACAAAAGAAATCAAATAATTAAAAGAAAAAGAAAACCACAAACAGGTCTTACCAAAGATGAAACATATTCAAATATAGATGAAGAGTTCCTCCGTATTCCTGATGACTTCAGGTCCCGTCCACCAGGGGGCATTAGTCTGTTAATACCCATGGTGCAGCCTGTGGGAGATTTCACAGATGGCAAAGATGGCGGCAGTGTAGAAAAAGAAGACCTTCTACTGTCTGGGTAAACAGGTTGTCCAGATAGCCACATATCAGGTGATGGTGACCGCGATGTTGGAGACATGGTACGTCTCAGCGGCGGTGCACACGGTAAAGACACCCTCCTCAGTGGTGAAAATGGTGTAAGTCCAACTGGTGATGGCGATGGAGATCTTGATGGTGCCGTGTTCATTTCACCACCATGCACCGTCACCAGTGGTGAATCCTCTGGTATATCAGGGATGTTATCACCCATACAGAGAAACGGGGACCCTGATCTTCTCCGCGTCAGAGGAACTATTTCTCGGGTAGGAGATCTACGAATACAGGTTGGTGAAAAGGGGTAATTTTCTCCACCAGATGGCAGTTTAGTCTGTAGTATCCCTCCCCCTGGGACTGAACAACTCTGTTTACTTGTACTCCCCTCAGATATTTCTCCTGTCATGACTGGATCTGTCTGGACTGGAGATTCAGCAGGGAAAGTTAAAGTTGGGGACAGCAATACTGGGGAGTTCACCAATCTCGGTGATTCTTTTTGGTCTTTATCTAACATAGACAATGTATCTTGTGGAATCTGCAGAGACAAATTTGTAACTCTTCTACTGTCTTTTGACCTTCCAGAGGAACCAAGTGATAAAAATGGTTTCTTTTTCTTGGGAGCAATCTTGGGCGGAGGGTAGAGGTGACAACCTGCCCCAGTTTCTGAGCAAGTGGGTGATACCCCACCACCTGATACCATATCATTACTAGTAGACACACAGTCTGCTGGCCTATATGCAGCCTTGGGAGACTTCGCCTCGGAGTGAACAGTGCTGTTATCTTCACTCAGTGTCTTATCACAAGAACTGCCGCTGTCTGCTGATATCCCTTGTTGCGAGACTTCTGCTTCATGTCGGGCCAACGGTTCGCCTGCCTCTTCCAGGACAGCCTCACTGTATGGTGGCGGAGAAGGCATGTTTTCTGGACACTCCTCCATTACAATGCTGTCAGTTGGTCTGATTCTAACATTATGCAATTTGTTTCCATTATTTTCTTCTGCTAACTGCAGTGGTATACTCCTTCTATCATGAGTTTCGTATTCAGGAACTGTAATACACTTTAGCCTGCTACTCTATCACCAACAATACCCTGCTTGCCGCTAACTATTGTTTTATCATATGAAAGACAGAGTGTTTGTGAAATCTTTTATCTATGTTCTGTTTTCTGAAAACAAATAAGCAAAGTTTGTCCTCTTTTTCTCTCCTCCTATACCTACTACACTTCATAGTGCTAATGTTTTTCTTTCCCTGTCTTTTCCAGCTGTTGAAGCAAAGCCTTGGAGATCTTAATAAAAAGACCAATCACCACTTTCTACTGATCTAACAGCAGACTGCCATTGTCTTGCCAGGAACAGCCAGAGAAAGAGGCACTGCAATCCATGGCCTGTCTGTGATCAGTTGATGCAAGCAGCCAGTTCCAAGCTGGCCTTGGATGTTCTAGATATAGATTCTACTAAGTTATAAGTCAGTACATGTAGATGATCCCCCCATGGCACACTGACATTTTCATGGTATCCCTGCTGAACCATTAGTCTTGCTGTCATTGGTATGTATACCAGTATAAATAAGATGTTCAACTGTAGATTAATGATATCATCAACTTCGAGATCCTACAACACAATAACAATACAATAACTGTCACAGTTCTAAAGATTTCTCCATCAATACTGTGCATATTTAAATATTTCAATTACCGATAAGTTCAAAATCTTCATGGATCGTCTTTGTATCATCTTTTCTAACGAAAATGACTGTTAAAACAACTGTTAGACCCCATTTCCAGAGATTAGATCGATCTACTTTAGATCGACCTAACTCCCTGGGGGTTCACGCTAAATAGCTGTCACCCGAGCGGACACGAAAGTTAATTACCCCCTTACAGCTTGAAGTAGACGAGACGGACATTTAAGCCAGATTATCTGACAGTAATCTAGTGAGACTCCCTGCGGGGATAGATCGATCTAAAAGCTCTGGGAATACAGCCTTACAGATCCCTAAACAAACTGTTCCAAAAAAGTCAGTGTTGTGTTTATCACCAGTTTTAAAGCAATCTTTTAAGCAATCCTATACACCTAAATAACACCTCTATAGCATAATTTGTCTGACTGACAACTTTAACTGCAGCCCATATGTTGTTTACCAACACTGCAAATACACATCAGATACAAACTAACTCCAACAGGAAAACCAAGTTTAACTGTTAAAAACCCTTCTTAACATTATCCATAAGTAAGGTTTATAAGAAACCGGGCCACATAATATGTAGTGATATCAATCCCAGTCTATCAGCACTTCAGCCATACACATAGCTCACTGGCAGACAACAGAACTCCCTACATAGAACACTGACCATCAGGGCACTAACTACAACCAGGGGTCACTTGCAGACAACAGAACTCCCTATATAGAACACTGACCATCAGGGCACTAACTACAACCAAGGGCTCACTTCCAATGGAACTATTGTTCTACATAGGTCAATTAAACTCAATGGGGACTCTTGCTGAATGTGATCAGATTTTAAGATTAAAACGCCTCTTCCCAGCATTGAGTAGAACACAGAAAAGCTGGTGATTACTTTTTTTTGTCGGAAACAAGAGGCAGCATATAAAATCTATTAATTGGAGTGCACTCAGCAAGAGTCCCTGCAGAATTGGATTGATCTATGTAAAATGATAGTGTCATTGGGAATGTGTCCTAAGTTTTGAAGCAGCTGTACTGCACACATCTTTAAGAAAGTTTGGAATCCAATATCACAAATTTATCTTAACTCTTTGTAACGTATTTCTGTCAATATCTGAAGCCTTTCATTGTGGGAGATGTCTATTGGGGCTGACCAGATAAAACACTTTACGGACAGAGAAATCATTAGAACTCAGCTGTCACTTCTAAGCCATTCACCCAGCCAGGGTTTAGTGATTTGCATTTGATTGCAATAAACCAGATATTAGGAGGAGAAGTTTCCCATGAGGATGCTGTTTTGAGAGTCAAATGTAATATATCTATAAACCAGTCTTCAACTGTGACAGCCTCTCGGGGCTGCCTTCAATTCTGGCGACTTATCACCTCTTCCTAAGGTTTGCAGGGGTGTGCATTCATTTAAAATACCACTATCAGCTACTAGTATTTAAAAATATTAAGTTTACACTCCTAGTTTAATTTATTTAGTGACAAAAGAGGAGACATATTCTATCTGCGCTACACATTATGGGACATTTCCTATCATGCTGTGTTACAACTGAGTCCACCATTTTAGTGACGGAAGTAAAGACATCCTGGCCTGCCATTACAACAAACTGACTGCAACCTTCACAAAACATCACCACAAGCTGCATTCTAGAATAGGACAAAACTGTACATAACCCCTGTATAGATCCACAGGTAACCCCTGGAGACCCACAAGTAACCCACTGGTAACCCTCAGGTAACCTACTGGTGATCCACAGGTAACCCACTGGTGACTTATTGGAAACCTACTGGTGACCCGTATAGACCCACATGTAACCCACTGGTGACTTATTGGAAACTCAATAGTGACCCTGTATAGATCCACATGTAACCCACTGGTGACTTATTGGAAACCCATTGGTGAATAGACCCACATGTAACCCACTAGTGACTTATTGGAAACTCAATAGTGACCCTGTATAGATCCACAGGTAACCCACTGGTGACACACAGGTAACCCACTAAAGACCCACTGGTGACCCTCTGCAGATCCACAGATGACACAATGGAGACTCAGG